TGTCTGTGGGAGTACCACGGTACCGTGAAGCTCACCTGGTCTGCATCTTCCCAAGCCTTCTGGGCGATGGCGACTGGCAGTCCGGGGGCCCTCCTTGTTTCTCCGTTTAACGTGAAGTGGAGATTCTTTGCACCGGCTGGAGGTGTGGAGGGGTCAAAATTATGCCTCTTCTCAGTGATTATGCCTGCAAAGTGTGTCTCCAGCATCTCTCCAAGATTTCACTATAGGAGGCTCGCTTTCTGCTTCCTTCCTCTAGCCGCCATCTTGGAATCCCTCAGGGCATTCTTTCTAAAATTCTGAAAGTTGAAGGTGTTTCTGGCATAACTATAAATAAAATTATCCTAATTGTGTTAAAATCATATTCTTGGGTACTCTATTTCCATTTCCTTCATGCCCTGAAAATTTGAAGGTTAATCCTATCTGACATGTTTTACAATATTCAAGAATTTAAATTTCATGAAGGTTTTGGTAAGGAATAATAATGGTACATACTGTAGACATTGATGGAACTTTGAAATGTCTTTCTATAAGATATAAAATATTAATATCCAAACATAATACAGGCATGAGAAATCAGTGTTTATATTGGATATTTTGTGTTTATATTTGTGCTATACTCTTCAAAATGCAAATATAACATTTAATATTTGTCAACACAGTTTTTACAAAAGTAAATCCTAAATTACCAAGCGTAATTCATATGTTCTCATACTTTTTCAAATGACTATAAGACATTACTTCATATATATTAAAAATTCCCTTAAGGGCTGCTGTTGTGGTTCTCATGGTAAAGCACTTGCCTAGCAAACATGAAACCCTGATTTCAAACCCCAACACCACCAAAAATTAAATCCTTTTTTAAAAAACACACACACAATGAGACACTCCCTTAATGTGATTATAATTATTTTAATAGAAAATAAGAAATGTTTGGCAGAATGTGGGAAAATTGGAACTTTTACACATCGCAAGTGAATGTACATTGGCATAGATAATTCAGAAAATTATTTGATGGCTCTTCAAAAAGCTAAAAATATAGTTACCATATAACCCAGCAATTCTAGTACTGTGTATTTACCCAAAGGAATTGAAAGCAGGGACTCAAACAGATACTTGCAATGTTCATTGCAGCATTATTTAAAATAGACAAGGCACAACATAATCAAGTGTCCATCAACAGATGAATGGGTACACAAAATGTGGTACATACATATATACAATGAAATAATACTCTTTTTTAAAAAAGGATTAAAGTTCCAGGCCAGGTGTGGTAGGATGGATTTGTAAGCCATTCCAATTACTGGGGAGGCAGCAATCATGACACTCATGGTTAAAGACCAGCGAAAACAAAAAGTTAGCAAGATCCCTTCTCAACCCACAAGTTGGGCACGGTGCCACATGCCTGTGATTCCAACTACAAGAGAGTCATAGATAGAAATGCAGTCCAGGCCAGCCCCAGGCAAAAGCAAGAGACCCTATCTGAAGAATAACTAAGGCAAAAAAGGGGGGAGGTAGGGGATGGCTCAAGTGGTAGAGCACCTACCTAGCAAGCATAAGGCTCTGAGTTCAAACCCCAGTACCTCAAAAACAAAAAAAAGAGAGAGAAATGGAATGAAGTTCTGATACAGCCTAGAGCATGTGTGGCCTTGATCACAAAATGCTGGTAAAATAAGACAGCATAAAAGGACTAATACTGTATGATTCTGCTTACAAGTAGACAATAGGCAAATTCAGAAAATAGATTGCATAAAATAGATTAGAGCCAGGAAGTGCAGGAAGGGAGAATGGGGATTTATTGCCTAATGGGTATAGAGTTTCTATTGGAGTAATGAAAAAGCTTTAGAAAAAGTGATGATAATTATAATACGTTAGAGTTGTAATTAATGCCACAAGACTGCACAATAAAAATTGATTAAGTTATCCAATTTTCTGTGTTCTACATATTTCACTAAATTTTTAAAAAGCTTAAATGGCAAACATGTAGATTTTATGGCATATATATTATGTCTGAATAAAGCTGTTTAAACAAAAAGCCTTTTTTCTTAGGGACTCAGCCTTTGTAGATTAAAAGTAAAAAATACATGCAAATTTACATAAGCACTGAACTTAATTTTAAAAAAACAGAAAGCAAGGAGCTCCTGGGGTAATCTACTTACAGGAGTAGCTGCTTTAAGCTTCCAAGCTGCTTCAAGCAGCCTTTTCTCTGCTTTTCTTTGCTTATAAAGTAAACCAAGATGTTTCCAGGAATAAAAACATCAATTTATTTGTTAAAACTATGGAACCCAAGAATGATCTTAAACTGTGTTCAAATGGATATCCAACCACACTAGAGTTTTGCTCACTTCCTCTCTTCCTCATTCACCAAATAATCAGCCAGTGTTTAATAGGCATCATCAATAAGATACCATCTCTGCCCCATGCTAGGGGAAGCCTTATGACATTCAATGCCTAGTTACAACCTTCTAGGATCTTTTGTTGAGGTATCTGGGTACCAAATGATTGGGAGAGGTGTTTGCTTGTTAATAAATCTTAATGGTGCCAATCACAATTTTTGTGAGAGATAAGCACATTCTCTACATATGGTTCTATATTCTGTTTTTATCACTTTCTTGTAAACTTTACTCATGTCCTTCCAGATTCTCCATGAAAATCACTTGAATAGACTATGTACTATGTATCCACATCATTTGTCATACCCCTCACAGGAGCTTCCCTGAACAGTAAGAACTGCATTTGTGCCAAAAAGTGGAATAGATAATTTGTCACATCTTCCTGCTACTTGGAAACACAGGATGAAACATAGCAGACAGGAAGTGATCCCTGGATATTTGGGGAGTTGGATTGACTGGATGCCTCAACTTATCATCTTCTTTACATCAGTGGCTAACAGCAAAGTCTCTGGAGACAGACTGCCTGGGTTAGAGTCCTGGATGCAACTCTTACTGGCTGAGTAGTCCTGAGCAAGCAAGTAACCTCTTTCTACCTCGGATTTCCCATCTATACTAAGAGACTTAAAAAATAATATGAAAACTATCGTGTGGTGGTGCCGTGAGAAGAAGAATGTGATGTTCTCCACTCAGTGCCCTGAGCTTACTACCTGCTCACTAAATCTTCACAGTTACCACCTCATGAGCTCAAATGTAAAGAAGAACTCAGGATTCAGAGAGGGAAAAGAGTCACAGATAGAAATCCAAAGCTCTTTCCATTATAGTCCCTCCTACTAGGGTGAAATCAGGTGCTGATCCAAGCAGGGCAAAGGGTCAAGATCCAAGGGTCCCAGGTGGGAGGAGAGGAGCATGATGTAGAGATGAAAAGTAGATACAGAACTGGGTAAAAGTTCAAGGGAATGGGGTGTAAATAGTTACATTCCCCTTCACCCTAGTTTTTGTCAGGGCCCCAAATTTAGGAGAGAAATAAAAGAACTCCAGCCCCATGGGTTGTGTAATCAATCATTTCTTATCAGGAAAGGTGAAGAGAGGGCTATTGGACATTTCAGAAGCTGCTGGAGGCTTTTTTATAATCTAATAGGGAAGGATTTTAATTGCACTAGGACTCTCAAAAGCTGTTTTCTTTTTAAAAACATCACTTTGACTCTCTGTCATCAGTTTCTTATCACTAAAATAAAGGCAATTATTGCAACCAGCATACCTATTTAACATTTGGTAAACTAGACTGTGACTCCTTTTAGGTCAGGGTTTTTGTCAGCTTTCTTTGCCACTGTCACAACATCTACTATCTGCCTGGAACACAGGAGGAGCTCTATGGAATGCCATTAGCATCAGCACCATCCACCTTCCAAAGGTAACACAGTTTCAAAAGAGGACGCACAAATAGCCAAAAAATACATGAGATGTTCAGCACTCTTAGCCATAAAGGATGTGCAAATCATTGAAATTCTATTTCACCCCAATCAGAATAGCAAGAATCAGAGAACAAATAACAACAAATGTTGGTGAGGATGTGGGGAAAAGGAACTTTTATACACTGTTGGTGGAAATGTAAATTAGTGCCACCACTATGGAAATCAATATGGAGGTTTCTTAAAAAACTAAAAATAAAACTTCCATATGATCAACCTATACCACTCCTGGGCATATATCAGAAGCAATGTAAGTCTTCACACCCATGTTTACTGCAACACTATTCACAATAACCAAACTATGGAATCAACCTAGGTATCCATCAACTGATAAGTGGATAAAGAAAATGTGACAGATAGATAGATAGATATAATATCTATCACACAGTGGGGTATTATTCAGCAGTAAAGAAGAATAAAATTATGTCATTTTCAGGGAAATGAATGGAACTGGAAATCATCACATTAAGTGAAATTAGCCAGACTGAGGAGACTTGGCATGTCAATTTAGAAGAAAACATGCAGGTGCTGGACTTAGTGAGCAAACTCAAGGAACTCCCTGCAGAAGCAAGTAAAGTCACAGCCTGAATAAATCATGAAGTCTGGGAAGAGGCCCAGGGCATGGCAATTCCTACTTAATACACTACTTTATCAGTGTAGTGATTTTTGTATAATAACCTTGTTTGATGCCTTAAAAAATAATATGTTTGCAACAGAAAAAAGAAATGATAAATGATAAAAGACATGGAAATTATAGTTATCCTGATTTAATTAGTACATGCTATACCCATGTGTTGAAATATCACACTGTCTCCCTATAATTGTGTACAAATGAAAAATATAAAATAATTTTCAATTAAAAAGGAAATGGAAAAGAAGATAAACAGATAAATAAATATATGTGAGTAATATGAAGGGGGAAAGGGCATTTCACAAAGCCATTACTAACAGCTGACAAAGCATTTCTCTGTCTCCTAAAGTGAATCATTCAAGTTCATCAGCTCTGGATTCTGAGGTCAAGTTATCCCCTCACATTTCTCCCTCCCACAGGTAGGTGGAGCAATTCTCCCAGGACTTAAGCAGGGGAGGTAAAGAGTAGGTGAGACTCAGGGTCAGTCAGCGATCCAGAAGCTGCTGCATCATGAGTGTCTCGGCACTGAGCTCCACCAGATTCCCAGGCGGCATTTTTGGGCTCCTCCAAGTGGCCTCCCTGCTTGGCCTGCTTCTGCTGTTGTTCAAGGCAGCCCAATACTACCTACAAAGGCAGTGGCTGCTTAAAGCCTTCCAACAGTTCCCATGCCCACCTTCCCACTGGCTCCTTGGGCACAAGGTAGGAAGGAAAGGGAAGGGAAGTGGGAGGCAGGGAGGCCAGGGCTCTCAATGGTTGCCCAGGGAGTCCACAGGACCAGGTCTGCAGTGTTACAAGCATATGACCCCAGGAAACAACCCACTTGCTTCTCAAGCTGGTTTCATCCCAGCGACAAATAGCTCACTTGCTCAAAAGAGCCTGTCCTACTGTTACTCAGCTCTGCTACATACTCCTTCTTTATGTAAGTCTGTCTTCTCTCCTGGCAGCCCTGCACTTGAGGGCTGTGGTTAGTCCTTCCTGAATTTCCTCTTCTCCAGGCTGAGCACCTCTAACAGCATCAGCTGTTCTCCCGGAATCAGGCTTCTAGATGGTTCCCTACCCTGATCACTTGGTGTCACCTTTGTGTGTGACCCAGAGCTTGCCTGAGAACACAGACATGAATGTGATGGAATCCCTGCCCTGTGGGGTTTATGGCTTATGGTGATGATAGATTTGAATCTATGGGGTATCAGGACACAGGGAAAGAGCTCACTTTGCTGGAGGGGCAGATTATGTCAGGTAGAACGACCAAATGACTAATTTTGTCCAAGACTGAGGGAAATTCCAGAATGGGTTATTTACAGGTTGAAAATCTGAAGGATTTTCAGGATGTGGGAAGGACTAAAGTTTGAGTTCCCCTTTAATCAGTTTCTGTTTAGCAACCTGCTGTCCTCCCACACACGCTGCACTTGGAGCTCCTTGGAGCCATGCACACCATCCCCTGCCAAGACAGGATCTGGCATGTGTATATAGGCAGGAACGAGGAAAAAGAGCCGACTGAGGTCTGGGGAGAGATAGCACCATCCTCCTGAACTGTCACTTTTATGGTGCAGCACAGACCTGGGTAAGGGGCTGCACAGAGAGATCCTTGGCAAGGAATTGTGCACTACCCACACTTACGAGGAGATGGAGGATGTGGAGTTCATGCATACAGCTAAGACTCTGGCCCTCCATAGCTCCTCTGATGCACAGAGCTCCATCGCACAGGACCAGGGGATAGGGTTCTGTTCTAGGAGACAGCAGAGATCTGATGACACCACAGACAGTCACCAAACTACTCCAAATTTCTGACTGCTGATGAAATAGCCAGAACTATGTCCCTGTGGTTGTCCTGCCCTTCACTCCACTACAAGAGCTATAACTATACAAAAGTTTTAACTGGTTTTTCTTTCCTTCGATGACAGATTGACAGGGACCAGGAGTTACAGCAGATTCTGTCATGGGTAGAGAAATTCCCGAGTGCCTGTCCTCGCTGGTTCTGGGGAAGTAGAGCTTTCTTTACTGTCTATGACCCTGAGTACATGAAAGTGATTCTGGGAAGATCAGGTGAGAGTCAAACCTCTTTGTGCACAGAGAAGCTCCTCCCTCTTTGGTACACATTCCTGGCCTGTCAAATTCCAGAAGAAAATGACACTTCATCCATCACCCTACATGCTCTTCCTACCATTCTCCCAAGCCACAACCAGATATAACCAACTATACTCATTACTGGACATTTCAAATAGCTGTGTGGAACCAAATAACTTTATCTTTTTGATTTCTTTGTTATTTAATCAAATTAAGGTAATCAGTTATGTACAATGCTCCATATCTGAAAAACAAACTTTAAATTGATACTGACTTGGGTTTGAAATCTCTAATTGTCACTTCACTTGAATCAGGGAATGACAAAACCACTATCCACTGTAGAAAAGTCACAAGGCTCTTGGTTTGAGGGCACAGCCTATGCTTCTCATCTACTCACTGTCCCAGTCCCAGGATTTCCAGCTCTAATACATGGAGTCTGCCTTACTGAGCCCAACTGATTGTCAGATAAAAGACAGAAGGGGATGGGAGGCAGAGGGAGGTGACATGGATGAACTGCCAATAGAGAGTCATCAAGAATTCATGGCAACCCATGGCCTCAACCATAGCTGCCTCTAAGCTGCCTTATTTGTTCTATTTCCTGTTATGCCCTTACTTCCCTTTCAGATCCAAAGGCCAATGGTGCCTACAGATTCCTGGCTCCCTGGCTTGGTACGTACATCTAAATTAGGAATGTGATCTACTCCCCAATTAGGCTCTCAGGCTCACAGAGAACAACAGGTGACAAGCCACCACTGTTAAGAGTCATCCTACATCAAGCCTCACTTCTCTTTTTTCCATCCAGACCTTCACTCCTTCCTAATGCTTCCTTGAGCCTCCCCCTAAAGCTTGGCTTCTGCCAAATCACTTCTCCAAACATTCCCAGCCTGACATTTATTTATGTCCCTCCTTGACCTACCCCCAATTCTTCTTCAACTTTTATCTCACAGCTGTCATAGTCACATTAGATGTACCAACCCAATTAGGAAATTCATGAATTCATGTTCCTAAACTTTACCGTTGTTTGAGAAATTCCACTTCTTCAGGGTTGTCTTCCCCAGTTCCACCCCACAGTCTCAATTTTTTCAGTAGTCTCTGAGTACACATACATACACAACCCATCTTTGGCCCAGGTTATGGTTTGCTCCTGTTGAATGGGCAGACGTGGTTTCAGCACCGGCGGATGTTGACCCCAGCCTTCCACTATGACATCCTGAAGCCCTATGTGGAAATCACAGCCAATCCGTCACAGTGATGCTGGTGGGTATCTTTTTCTCTTTCTCTCACAGCATACTCTCACAGAATCCACTCTCAAATATGTGCGTTCAATGACAGCCATCACGCAAGTCACATGATAATACTCTCAACCAATTATTATGAGAGTAGGTTCCTCAAATGTAGATGGAACAAAAATGATCTGGGCCCCAGGATGGGACCACACTTTGCTCATTGTCCAAGGCAGAGAACATCATAGTATTCACAGGCCCCGCATCCCACTTCCAAGTCCTCCGCACAGTGGACTGAGGTGAAGTAGTCACTTCAGCTAGACAGAAGGACTATGTGTCCCTGAAAGGCCTGAGCAACAGAAGCTTCAGTAGCAGGGGGCCTTCCCAGGATGTCACTCAGTCAGGCTCTGGCCTGGAGCCCAGGCTCCTGCATGGGCTTGAGTGACCCATGCAGGGAAATGGACACCAACACCTCTCAACTAGACTCTGAATTCTGACCCAATTGTCCTCAACAAACTTTTGATGCATAAACAGGAATTAAAGTCCCCGAGAACCCCCATTAGAAGTGCTCATAGTGGCCACTTATGTTTCCTTTTGCCTTGACACATTTATCTACTAAAAATGACAATCCTGTCAGTTCTTCAGGTTAATTTTGGCATTCAAACATTAATGTGTCCTCTTCCTTTTATCCCCTTAAAAAATTTCTGTCAGATAAAACATCTTAACCAGTTGCAAATTTTTAAAACTTATTTCAGATTATAAAGGATGCTATGTTTAGTTTTTGAAATAATTTTTTAGAATATACATGTCATTTAACAAACATTTGCTTTACAGTCTGGAGTGTGTCTGGCCTCTAAAGTGGGGGGGCTTTGAATGAACATCTGGAGATACAGAAGAAGAGCATAATTTAACACAGGTCTTCTGGGGAAAATTAGAAGGTCAATGGCCTCCTCTTACCTTAGGACAAATGGGAGAAGCTGATTGGCCAGGAAAACCCTCTGGAGATCTTTCAACATGTCTCCTTGATGACCCTGGACAGCATCATGAAATGTGCCTTCAGCGACCAGGGCAGTATCCAGCTGGACAGGTCAGTGACATCTCTTGAGCTACAGAGTCCTTGGTCTTACCAACTGATGTGAACTCTCCTTAGAGGCAGATGGGGCAGCTTAGATGCTTACTTCCACAACAAGCAAGATTCTGAACTCAGCCCCAAGCCAAGTTCTTAATTCCAGACCAGATATAACCCTTCCCAAGCCACAAACCATTGATCTCAAAAACAAGAAGAAGCCTGAGTACTCTCATGTCATTTTATAAAGGCCTGAAGTCACAAGGGCTGTCTTACAGCCTTAGTGTTACCGGCTCCCACAGTGGAGGAACTATCCACACAGAGCTCTCTCTGACAAAAGTTAGAACTCCCTACAATCTAAAATATTGTGCCTTCTATCCCTCAGGAAATCCCAGTCCTACATCCAGGCCATTTCGGATCTGAATGAACTGTTTTTTTGTCGTGTGAGGAATGCCTTTCACCAGAATGACTCCATCTACAGTCTGTCCTCTAATGGACGCTTATCACAACACGCCTGCAAGGTTGCCCATGAGCACACAGGTCCTTTCTGTTACCCCTGTCTCTCCTCTCTTACCAGGCACAGTCCAAAGGGGCTGGTCATGACTCCTCAGACAAATCTGGGCCCTCTGGTGCCCCTGCAGCACCTGTTATTTATTCTTGCTGGGAACTTCCTTAAGTGAAACTGCTGGGAGCTGAGATGTTAGGATGCCAGGTGCTGTGCAGGCGGATAGATACCATTGTCGTCATATTGGTGATGGAACTCAAGCAGAGTTCCATGGTTTGACTCCTTGAGGGGAAGCCTGACCTACATGTGATGGTACTGGACACCCAAACCTGCCCACCACACACACATACACACACTCATTCCTATATGCATCCTGAGCTCTACAGGACACACAGGCTGGGGAAGGGGACACATGGACCTACTGGGGATTGCTGTAGTTCTCAGCCATGCCTGGTAACTGCTCTGCTGTGACAGACCAGGTGATCAAGCTGAGGAAGGCTGAGCTGCAGAATGAGAGAGAGCTGGAGAAGATCAAGAAGAAGAGGCATCTGGATTTCCTGGATATCCTCCTGTTTGCCAGAGTGAGTGTGTGGGGGAGAAGCCTGAGGCTTTTCCCAGAAATCTAGAGCAAAAGAAAAATCCTACTCTCTCACCCATGAACTCCCCCAGATGGAGGATGGAAGCAGCTTGTCTGACAAGGACCTGCGTGCTGAGGTAGACACATTCATGTTCGAAGGTCATGACACCACTGCCAGTGGCGTCTCCTGGATCTTCTATGCTCTGGCCATGCACCCAGAGCACCAGCAGAGGTGCAGGGAGGAGGTTCAGAGCCTCCTGGGGGATGGAGCCTCCATCACCTGGTGAGTAAGAGCGCAACAGGTGAGAGAGCCCTACCTCTCTGGTCTTTCCAGAGCCCTAAGGATGGATTTTGTTTTAGGGACCACCTGGACAAAATACCCTACACCACCATGTGTATTAAGGAAGCCTTGAGGCTCTATCCACCAGTTCCAGCTGTTGTTAGAGAGCTGAGCAAACCTGTCACCTTCCCAGATGGACGCTCCTTACCCAAAGGTTTGACTCTCCCAGACTCACTCACCTAAGCTCTCCCCAGGAAAAAGGGAAAAATCAGAAATCCTTGCATGTCTCAGCAGTTATGAACCACCTGAGTCTCATTTCCTTGTCAGTAAATACTCACTTACTGGGTGCTTCTTACTCATAAAGTACAGTTTCAAATTTGGGACATAAATGACCTATAATATTCCTTCCAATTCTGCTGTTACACATGACTAGCATCATAAGCTTCTTGCTCTTCACCTAACCTTCCTTCTTATCATCATGGTCCTATGATACCACAGTTAACTACAGTTTGGGGGCACTGACATTCTTTAATTATAATACTTCAGACCCAGTGCCAGACGCCAACACAACATAATTCTTGGACATCCCTGTCCTTCATGTGTCCTCATTGTCACATCGTTTTATCATTCTCTGCATTGGATACAATAAATGGAAAACTTGTTTTAAAATGCAAAGAACTATATTTACGGATGGGTGAATATGATACAACTCTGTTCTTGGAATCTTCTCCACAAAGAGACCTTAGTCTTTGGATATGACCTCATGACCTCATGACTTTAGCCCTCAAATTCTATTCCCTAAGATGTAGAAGATAAAGGGAGAATCAGACAAGAGGTAGGGAGATATGATTCTTTCCTTGGGTCAAGGCAAATGAATGAGATTGGTGAATCCCATGCCATGAGTCATACGTAGTCCAGTGTCTGAGGGCCTTCAGCTCAATGGTAGAGAGCAGCAGATGACTAGCTATGAGGCCCCTGCAATGGTAGGAACCACCCTTTGGCTCAAACCGCATTAGATCTCAATACCAGCCCTGCCACATCCTACCTGTGAGATCATAGGCAGTTTTTCTCTGAGGCTTTGTTGATTCATCTGAAAAACTGGGATATAACAATGCATTCTTTAGAGGATTGTTGTGAGGACTAAATGAATTGATGTATACTCCTCAGTGGAATTTCTTCATAAACATAAACTCTCATAAGTAAGTTCAAATTCTCTCTCTCTCTCTGTCTCTCTCTCTCTCTCTCTCTCTTTCTCTCTCTCTCTCTCTCCTTGTTTTCTGCTCCCCAGCTGTGTTCAGGTGCTTTGCAAAGTCCACCCATGTCATCCAGCTGAAAGTGATAATTTTTGGCACACAGACCTTTTTGTACATGCATATTCCCTGCTGGTTAAGAAAACCACACCTTCGCCATAATCAGTCTTCTCTCTTTCTCTTACTTGCCCCCACAGGCATCCCAGTCACACTCTCATTTTATGCCCTTCACCACAACCCGAAGGTGTGGCCAAACCCAGAGGTATGATGGCCTTGGAAGGAGAGGAGGGGACAATCTCTCAGGATCAACACCTCCTCCTGCTCCCGCCTGTGGGCATCCTATTCCCTCATGGGTTGGGAGCAAGGGATTGGCCTTTACCTGTCCTGACCCTGCTGTTCCTTCTGCAGGTGTTTGACCCTTCCCGTTTTGCACCAGATTCTGCCCGACACAGTCACTCATTCCTGCCATTCTCAGGAGGATCAAGGTGAGATCCTGTGCATGTGTTAATGGGGTAATGTGAGGGTGGATAATATCTGATGTTTGTGACCTCCTACTTTCATACATAACATCTTCAGGTATGGCCATCTTTGTTACTGTTTATGTGAAAGAAGCTCATGTAGGTGTGTTTGTACACAAAAGAAAGGAGGCATTTCAGGACATACCAAAGAGACAATGACCCACTGCCCTTCCCAATAGCCAGGAAAATTCAGTATTGGTGGATGCTCCACACTTCACTACATTCTGGTGTTTTCCTCACTTTAGGGGTAGGGCTTTACAAATTAGATTTTCTCATATAAATTTAACTTCAGGTGTTATGCTTCTCAGCTGCCAGGAATCTTACAGGGTACAGTCCTCTCTTTCTATACATTCTCAACCCTGCTCACCACTCTTTCTGAATGATTTTCTAATCCTAGAATCACTATGGCATGTGATTAGCTTGCCTGGGTTTGTTTTCTGGATGCCTACTGTGTACAGAAAGTTACAGTCACCCTTCAAAGAAAGTTTTACATCAGTGTACATCAACTCCACAATTGCAACCTCTTCTAACACGGTTTTTGTCTGCATGTTAACATTCATATTTTCCTTACAACTTCCACAGTTGTCAAAATTTAACAGGTGAGGTAAAATGTATATACCTGGAAATTACACAAAAAGCATAAAAGTAGGGACAGTAAGCTGTCTTGGAGAGAAAAGTTGATGTTTTGTGTATGCCATATAGCATTGTGAGGGTTCCTGGGCGTGTGAAATATAAAACACACTTGAAATAGCCATGGAACTGGACAAGGACACGCCATAATGTCTACTGTACAAATCATTAGAGGATGTAGAGTCATCCATTAGGACACAACTTACTATAAACTTTAAAAGGCTTTAGTAATAGCAAGTTATTCTGAGCCCATACTTCTATGAATTCTTCAAATGGCAAATCAACTTTCACAGAGCAGACTTTAAGCAAGTTATTTTCCCAGAAATTGACTTTCTTCAGTTTATCTCAGGATTCAGTACTTCCTTCTATATTGGTAACAAATCATCTTGCTGCCACTAGAGGACAGGAGAGTATTAGTAATTCAATTTATGGGTCAGAACTAATTTTTACTTTTGTTGTACTCTAATATATTCTGCATTATTATTTAAATTTAGTTTAATTTAATTTTCAAAATCGACTGAAATTAATTCAAATATGTAACCTAGCTTCTGTATGCTAGGTCATTAGAATACAGAGATGAAAGATACTGTTTCTGCCTCTGAGAGTTCAAATATGTTCTACAGAGACAAATACCTCTGCTTATAACACACACTGTTCCTTCCTTCACTCTTTCACTCACTGATCACTCATTGAGCAGTTTGTGGTTCCACATTCCTGGCATTGTCCAAAGCTCTAGACTGTGGAACATCCTTGAATAAAGTACTTATGGTGAGTTAGGTGTCTGGGAAGAAGAAGGGTCAGCAGCAGAGAGGTGACAGCCTTGGTCATTGGCCTGAGCCTTTAGGATATGCAGACAGAGGTGGAAGGAAGACATTCTCAGTGATGAACAACATGCACTGAGCTAGGAAGTGGGACCGGGCAAGTGAAAGGTGAGAAGAAAGCAGCCCTAGGGGTGTGGATGCAGTTGGGTCATCTGGACACAATCCTATCTGATGGTGGACATAGAAGGGTCACTTGGGAGGGCATCAAGGAAAAGAGAGAAGTCCAGACAGGAAACTGAATATGGAAGAAAGGACATTTTATGAGTATAATGAGGAGAGGAGATGAGGAGGTCAGCTAGAACTTGACCACCACTGAGTATGAGGCAGATGGGGCCCAAACCCGTTGCCCTGTCCACGAGCTTTCTCAGGGACATCTGATACCCCTTGGAGGATCTCAATTCCTGGATCTCCCCAGATGGAGTGAACTAACCAGTGATTAGCTTTTTAAATTATTCATGCAGTTGGACTCTGTGCTGGCCTTATCCTAACAGAGATTTCAGCCTGAGATTGGGAGTAGGGTCGGGATAGTCCTGGCAGACTGGGAGGCCTTGTCAAAGGTCAGGAAAGTATGAACCAAAACCTGAGGGAGAAGTCTGTGTGACCTGTAAAGAAAGGGATCAGACTGGCCCCAAGGAGGACCTTGAATGCCAGCTATGAGCTGGAACTCAGGGGCAATGCCTGCCCAGCTCAGAACATGGCCTAAGGCCAGGTCTCATTTCACTGTCCCTGCTTGGCCTAGAAACTGCATCGGGAAACAATTTGCCATGAATGAGCTGAAGGTGGCTGTAGCCCTGACCCTGCTCCGCTTTGAGTTGCTGCCAGATTCCACCAGGGTCCCCATCCCCACACCACGACTAGTGTTAAAGTCCAAGAATGGGATACACCTGCATCTCAGGAAGCTCCACTAACTCTGGTAGGGATAAGGACAGGCTCTGGGGGCCTTCCGCCTGTCTTCTTTGTGTTCTTGTTACCTGCTTCTGTTCCCTACCTGTTTGTTCACATCCTGTTTTCTATCTGCTCACCTGTCTTTCTTTCCACCTCCTGCTGACCTGCCTTCTATCCTCCTGTCTGTCTACCCTTTCTGTCTCTCACCTTCCTCCGGGCTCCCTATCTGCTTATCTGTCTACCTGTCTCCCACTGTCTGCATCTTTGAATGTCCACATAACCATTGATCACCTGCCTGCCCTACAGCCTGCCTGTCCCTCTACAGGTCTTTTCTTTCTGCCTTTTTATTTTTCTCTGTATGAGTTTCCCATTGCTGTTGCAATCAACTGCCACAACCACAGTGGTTTTAAATAACAGAAAGCTATTCTCTTACAGTTCTGGAGCTCAGAAGTCTGAAATGAGAACCCTGGGAGAAAATCAAGTTGAATAGTAGCCGACCTTCTTCTGGAGAGTCTAGGAGGGAACTCTTACCTTGCCTCTTCAGTCTACAGCTGCATTCCTTGCATTTCTCAGCTCTTGGTTCCTCATTAAAGCTAGATCTTTTTCAAATCTCTCTCTCCCTCCCCCTCTGCTGAGAATAGTGGTACACGTTTGTAATCTCAGAGTTAGGTAGGATCATAGTTTGAGGTCAGTGCAGTCAGAAAAGTTAGAAAGATTCCATCTCAACCAATAAACCAGGCATTGTAGCACATGCCTCTGATCCCAGCTATATGAAAGACATAGGTAGAAGGATAGTGGTCTCAGGCCAACTCTGGGGAAATTGCAAGACCCTATCTAGAAAAATATCTTTAAAAAAAAGTTGGATGTGTAGCTCAAGTGCTAGAGCACTTGACTTGAGTACACACACACACACACACATACACACACACACACAGGTAACCTAGGACAATTTCTCCAGCTAAGATCCTTTACTTAGTCAGAACTTCAGTTCCTTTTGACATATGAGTTAACATATTCATGGGCTCCAAAGTTTAAGACTTAGACATAGTGGGAAGCCATTATTTAGCTTAGCCCAGTCCTTACCTGACTGTCACACAATCTGTCCATCTAAATATTTCCAGCATAGTCTCTGATTGTCTCTCACACAAGCCTCTCCATCTTCCCTCCTCCCTGCAATAAAGCTCCCAGCATCACATGTTTTGCCTGTCTTCCTTGGAATGGGATGGAGGGAAAATAGAGAGACAGAGGGTCAAAGAGACAGAGGAGACAAGTCCCTTCTGAAAAAGAAGAAGAAGGAGGTGATGTCTACCCTGTAGTGCCAGGACCCTACCTGACCTGACATGGCCTAACCCCTTCAAGAAACCCATGTGTTCCCTAAGGCCTACCACCTTCCCAGCAGCTGAGACTCCTACGTTGCCAAGTTTGACTAAGAATTTTCTCTGGGAACTCAAAGGGAGACATTCACACCTGTTCAGGAAAGAGATCAGAACTTTCTTCTATTCAAAGGCTAACACTTCTTACACTAGGCTTTCCAGAATAAATCTGAGATAAGTCCCTCTTGAGCTGAGCAGGAAAGACTTACTGGTTTGGTCTGACATAAGAGCCTTGGGGACTCCTCTTCACAGACCCAATGAGACATGACAAGAGAGCCCAACTTGTCATGTCACCAATCACCTGTCAGCCTTCCTCACACCTACGGTCTGAAAGCTCCTCAGGAGGCTCAGGGGAATGGACAATTGTCCAACAAAGGCTAGGAGGAGCCCAGGTGAGCAAATGGGTCTGGCAAGTAGGATAGGATGTCAGATCTCAAAGAGCTTCTACTCTCTAAGATAGTCCCATCGTGGTTCTCTGCTTCCCTGGCTGGACACCCTGAGGAAGGTCAGTGGGTGCTGGGGCTCCTGACCTTAGTATATGATACCTGTACTCCCACGAGATTCCCTGGACTAGTATCCTTGTTTCCACTACCCTCTCTGCTCTGCTTCTCTTGCTGATGTTGAGCACAGGTTTCCCTGATGCCTCAAGCCATTCCTAGATCAGGGTCCTTGATGCCATAAACAGTACTACCTAGAATCCTCTGCCTTCCCTGCTATGCTATGCTCTACTTCCTGGAAGGGCTTCTCTCAAAGTCAGTACCTACAGCCAGGACCTCCTTCCTATATCCTGGCCTTCCAGGTCACTAGGATAGATCAGCCTTGCTCTGAGGAGAGGCAGGAGATGGCAGGCTGGAGGCTCAGTGCTTCACTGAGGGGAGAGGGGAGCATTGGTGGGGCAGGAGTGAAAGTCTGGAGTGTCGTGGACAGAACATTCATCAAATGGTATAGAAGGCTCATGCTGACCTTGCTCAGAGAGCACGGGACAATAGGAACTCACAATTCTTCAGCCAAGAACAAGTGCTTTAAGCACAGGATTCCACAGGGGGTGTATGTGTGATGAAGTGACTCTGATACCTCCAAGCCATGAGCAAGACCCAGGCCTAATTCACACACGCACACACACACACACAAATACACACACACATGCACATACACACACCTGTGACCACACATGAAGAACTTTCGTAAACCACTCCTGTGTACACCCGTTGCTGCCTCCACACTCTGCCCATGCATTTCCAGGATCACAGTAGGCAGAAGGGATGTGTTTGGAGAGCTAGAAAGATTAAGTAAATTCATTTTATGACACTCAGAATTCAACTGTGATGCTCATCAGTCCCAGTCTCCACACTCTATCCCCAAGGAATCCTCCCCTCCTCTTTGACACTATTGTAAGTGGAGTCCGAGTTCTGACTCTATTTCCCACTGACACACAACCTCAATTGATGTAGTCTTGGTCAGAAGACACCAGAATCAGGACACCTCAGCTCAAGTTCCTCTTCAATGTGTGTCTCTCAAGTCCTTTCTCTTAATATTGATATGAGATCATGCCCTCCTCCCACCAGGATCAGGGGCACCATCACCCAGTCCATAGTTGGTGACTGCCTGAGTTGTAAAGATTTAAAGAGATATGGACATTGGATGCAGTTTAAACTCAGGTCCCACCCAGGAACACAAGGAAGTAATGACCTCTAGGCTTGGCTCCCGGGTGATGACTGCTGAAACCTTATTGTCACATGTACAGAGAACAGTCTATACAGGTGCCAAAACAGAAGAGGAAGTTGGTGGCATAGGGCTGACAGCTGAGAGGCACACCCTGGTTGAGTCTTCTGCATTCCATTAACAGGAATGGCTGGGCCTTAACAGGCCTTGCAGGAGTAGACAGATGGCTGGTGGCAGACCTGCCAAGGCTGTGGCCTTTGTCTTATAAGATTACCTTATCAATAGCAGAAAGGATTTATCTCCCAATGGCACATCCTTCAGGGCACCATCAAGATAGCACCAAGTCCCAGGACTAGAATTCCTCTCTCCTGTCCCCTAGCCGAGTCTCCAGGGCCCTTTCTTCTACATATATCTAATTCCTGAATTGGAGCCGACTAGTGGCCTTAGACCTTGATCCCTAGAGGTGTTTGTGCCCACAGTCACTAAGCAGCTGCCACGGGACTTACTAGGGAAAGACCTCTAAGTCATTGTTTGGCCCACAGCTTGAGGCCCTCCCCAAAAGTCCTTCATACCTCACCCATGATTCAAGGCCTGATGCAAGGGGGGCTTCCTTCTTCCTGGAACTCCCCTGTAATGTCACTCTGCCACCTTCCCAGTCAAACCCTAAGTGTGCAGAGCACCAAATGACTATGAGATACCAATACTAAAAATGACAGAAACTCCACAGAGACCTATTCCAGAGAGGCAGAAGACATACTCATGAAACCATCTTCATATTAATCTTTATTTTGTATAGTGGTGGGTCAGGTGATTTTCCCTTATGTCCATTATATTAAAAGAAGAAACACATCTCAATGAAAAGGCAACACCCTGAGCTGTCCTTCTCTCCCACACCATGAGATACTGTGAATCTCAGGCAGAGTGTCCATTGCATTCAGTAATAGTCTCCAAGGCCGAAATGTATGTTTCTGCTGTACATTAGAAAGACTGCAGATTATGGGAGCTAAATGAAATTTCTCAAAGCAAATTAGGTGCTCATCAAATGCTTGTGGAAGAATGAATAACAAAAATTTCTTAACATGCATGTTTACAAGGCACTGTTCTCTGAGACATTGCCCTTCAGTACCTACTCCCCTCCCAAACTACAAGCCCCCTGAAGAGTAGAGAGCCACAACTACTCTACATTCAATCTAAGAGGTCAGTGCCCAGTAAGAGGGCACAGTCTAGGCTGTCTGGGTTTGCTCTCTTCAGAGCTACTTCCCAGACCCAGGGCCCAGCGGCTTCAGATGGAGGTGGATACCATTCTTGGAGCGCAGGACCAGCTGGGGCATCTTGATAGGCAGCCGGGAAGGATCCAGAGAGAACTCAAAGCGGAGCAAACAGAGGGCTGTGACCACCTTTATCTCATTCATGGCAAACTGCTGCCCAATGCAATTCCTGCAGCAAACAGCACAAAGAGGCATGGGACTATGGGGTGTCCAGAGTGATGAAATTCATTGCTCTTAGTGGCCAATAACTATTTTTGGATGCATAACTAGCTAATAGATTGACTGACTTGGACTAAAGAAACAGATCTTGAGAGCACAGTGAGGGCCCCCAACTGAGTAGTTTCACATTGGGGTTCTGGCCTGGAATGACCCACCCATCTCACCCACTTCCCGGGGACAGAAATATAATAGCAAGAGGGTTCTTGGAGCTTACTCTGCATTATGATAACACAAACTAAGCATGGTCACCTCATTACAGCGCACCCTAAGTTATGCCTCCCCCATGATGTCCTCCACTCATTGTCTTGAAGATCTATGGATACTGGGCTTCTCCCTACCTAGGACCAGCAGAGAAGGGTATGAAGGCGTAGGGATGGCGTCCAGTCACATTCTCAGAGGAAAAGCGCAGTGGGTCAAAGACCTAAGGGGATAGGACTTGCTTAAATATCCACCAGATCCTGGCATAGGGTAACTCCTGTGCTCCCTCCCCATCCTGTCTGACTTCCAGGCTCAGAGATGGAGTACCTCAGGGTCAGGCCATACTGCACTGTTCCTATGGAGGGCATAGATGTGCAGAGAGATCAGGCTGCCTGCAGACAGAAAAGAAGCCTGGTGACCAATGATCTGGGGCCTCCAGAGCAGTCTCCACATATTCCCTAGTGTCTTTCCTCTTAGGGCACTAGCCCCCATCTGAACACTGCCAGTAATGATGAATTCTTGATTCAACTCATCAAATACTTTGACCATCACCATGCCTAATTCCCATAGCCCCAGAGCTGAGCATAGCATCTGACACAAACATTTGTGGAATGAAGAAAAAAGAGAAATGACCTCACCCAACCACAAAGTAGGACAGACAAGGGATTATTATAGCCTTTCTGCTTTTCAATTAACTAACTCTCAGGAAGTTATTGTTCATAACATTGTGATATCAATAGTAATTACTACCATTCACTGGGTGATTACTACAAGTCAGGAACAGGCCTAAACACTCTTTATGAAGCCACAGTTGTACATGTTATACACTGCACAACATCATAGCTAACATGAATCATCCTCTTAGAGTCATCCGACACACCACCTGGATATTCATGGTGGTAAATGAGAGCCTTGCTAAACATTGTCTCTTTAATTGTAACAACAACCTTGAAAAGTAGGTACTCTTCTCACTCCCATTTTACTGAAGAGGAAACAGAGGCTTAGAGGTAAAGGAATTTACTCATATGTTGTAGAGCTGGAACTTGGACCCAGGGCTCTCTGAAGACAGAGGCTGAGCTCTTGGTGCAAATATTTGGCCAAAGGCACTGGGATTGTCAGAGGAACATCGACTCTGATTCCACCTCCAAAACCACCCCATCCCACCTTCAGGTAGAGAGCGGCCATCCACAAAGGTGACAGGCTTGCGGAGCTGGCGGTACACCTGGGGTACAGGTGGGTAGAGGCGGAAACTCTCCTTGATGCACATGGTCAAGTAGATCATCTTGCCCAGATCATCCCTGCCACAAAACAGGACATTTGAGAATAGAGACAAGTAGGGTAACAAGAGAAGGCAAGCACCAGCCGCAACTTCACCACCTCATCACCGCATCATCTTTCCCCTCACCACCATATATCCAAGAGTCCGATAAAGATAAGGCCACTCAAACCCAGGAACTGGATCCACTTCCCTCCAACCCCTCCTCATCTTCACTGCTAGGAGAGGAAAGCACAGGACCCTAAATCATATGCACCCAACCATCAAAGACAGGGCCACTTCTACTTCTTTGTTTGTTGGGGCCCCATGGAAGCCCCACAAGTGACAGTTCTTTAGTTCTTTAAGGTTGCTTGGTTTCCCCTGTGGATTTGAAATGGAAAGTACAGGGGCTGATACATGCTGACTGAATGTTCATGAATTATTTGGGTGAACAATGATAAAGTGTGTGTGTGAGTGTGTGTGTGTGTGTGTGTGTGTGTGTGTGTGTGTGTGTGTGTGCACGTGTACACATCTTTTCTCTTTGGCCACCAGAAAGCTCAGACCCAAACGTGAGGTTCAGCTGCAATACTGAGTAGTACCTTATTACAGAGCCCCAAATTCTAAGTCATCCCCTCCTCCCAGCTCCTACTTTTCATTTGTTTCACTCTTTTATTGAATAAGTGTCCTCTAAGTTGTTTAAAGTTCTAGATGGAATTAAGGGAAAGTTTTTAAAATTTTTAACTCAGCCAGACACCGGTGGCACTTGCCTGCAATCCTAGCTAATTGGGAGGCTAGATTGCGAGGATTTCAACTGATAGCTGGTCACATTGGTGGATCATAGTTCCAGGACAGCCTGGGAAAAAAGTTTGCAAAACTCTATCTCAATGCGGGGGAAAGTGGGTATGGTGGTGCACGCCCATCATCCCAGCAATGGTGGGAAACTTAAAACAGGATGATCATGGTCTAGGCAGACCTGAGCAAAAAAGCAAGAGTCTACCTCCAAAATAACCAGAGCAAGAGGGCTGGAGGCATGGCTTTAGGGGTAGAGTGCCTGACTCATAAGTGTGAAGCCCTGAGTTCAAACACCAGTACTGTCAAAAAAAAAAAAGTTTAACTCCATGCCTCAGGCTATGTTTACTTTTTACTCAGCATAGAATATCTGGTCACTGCCTGAGTTCTAATCCTCCTTTAAAAAGTCAATTTATTAGGGCTGGTGGAGTGGCTCAAATGGTAGAGTGTCTGTCTACTAAAAAGTCAATTCATGCCCCACCTCTTCTGATCCCTCGTCCTCAGCATCAAGGCCACTCATTTTTACTCCATCCTGTGGTTTTCTCGGGCTCTTCTGTTATGGCTCCTCCTCTTCCCACCTGCACCCCAGATTGTCACAAGGCTGGACACCCTGGAAAGTTTCCAGCATCTAACCAATAAAAATAAGTAATGGAGAACTCCATTCCCCAAATTCTATCATTGACTGAGCATTTTCTGCACCTCTGCTGTATGCCTAGCCCTATGCTGAAGGCAGCTGAGGAGCCCAGAAAGGTGAGGTGCCTGACAAGATGCAAAGGCTTAAGGGGAAGGAGGCAGTGGAAGAAGCCTGTGAGCGATTCCCAGAAATCATGCTACAAAGAGAGGTTGGTTCACTCGGTGTCATGCTCAGGACTTCAGACTTGAACCAAGAAATGGAGAAACATTTGAAAGTATTAAGTGATGTTGTTTAGGAAACAGTCTTTTCTCCCTTGTCAGGGCTAGAAGTGTGGAATCTGGAGACTATGTGCTGCCACCACAGGCAGGTGGCAAGGGACTGGCTCTCCCAGCTGTCTTATCCTTCATCCTTCATTTCCTCCATTTTTTCTCCCAGTCCTCTCTATTCTATCCAGTAGCAAGATGGACTGGTTCACCCTCAGCCTCACTCACCACTGGAAGGAGTGCTGGTCCCCCAGGATCTCGCGGACCTCTTCCCTACAACGCTGCTGGTGCTCAGGATACAGGGCCATGCAGTAGAGAAACCAGGAGATACCACTGGTGGTGGTGTCATGGCCTTCAAACATGAATGTGTCCACTTCAGCCCGAAGGTCTGCATCTGACAGCATGGTCCCACTTTCATCCTGGGTTAAGGCACAATGGGGCAGCTCAAGGTCTTTCAGGTAGACGCCAAGAATTCTGCACTAGTTTTCAAATGCAGGACTGAGGGAGGGCACGAAGGCTGCTTGGCCAACTGGGGGTTAGGACCTTCCCTCAGATTCCTAATTTTCTTCTGAACCTAGCCTGCTCCGTGAAGCCTTCCCTGACCCCTCTGGCCAAGAGACCTGTGTCCTTCTCCAGCCCTGACTGAAAGCTCTGCTAACTTAGCACACAGAATGCCAATCAGAAGAGGAAGAGATCTTTGTCAATATCTGCCTACTAACCCCTCCACTAGACTGTAAGCACCTGGGGGACAGAGCCAGGTCTTTCCCATCTCTGTAGCCTAGCACAGGAACTACCTCGGGATATGTGCTCAGTGAGTTTATGGAGTGAAGGAAAAAAGGAATGAATACAAAATCTGAATTTGAAGATCCTACAATGCCAAGACTAAGGAATCTTAGAAATCTAGAAATGTTTCCAGGCTGCTACCATATGACAAGGCTCCCAGTTTCTTATTGTCACAACCCAGCCATACACAATTGCATCTCTACACCTTGATTGGCAGGTGTCATGGGACAAAAAATAGGTTATATTTGCTGGAGGGAGGGTTAACAGCCCCTTCTGCTGAGCAGTAAATCGGTCCTAGAATGTTGGTCTGAGGACCCCTCTGGAACCAAGCCTCTGGTGGGACATGTGCACTCACCTGAGCACCTAAGAGAATGTCCAGGAAATCCAGGTGCTTTCGGTTCTGAATCTTCTCCTGCTCCTTCTCATGCTTCAGGGCTTCCTTCCGCTTCCTGATGACCTGGTCTGGTCCAGGAGCACAGGTGTCACTGCCTGGGAACCATCCCCTACCCATAGGGGAATTGAAGTCCTGCACTAGGAGGGACACAGAAGATCCCAGAAGAAGAACCCAGGCTTCCTAGGGGTGGACCCTGTGGGAAAGGCCCACCTGTATGGTCATGGGCTGTCTGGCAAGCCCTCAGGAAGCGGCGGCCATGTGGAGTGAGCCAATAGATGAAGTCATTGTGGTACTGGAAGGAGTCAATGCGCTGCTGCATCAGCAGTGTGAGGTCACTGACTGCCAGGTAGTAGTCACTGTCCCTGTACAACAGGGGGTGCAGGGAGGAGCAGCTCAGACACTGACTGGGGGACAGATCCCTGAGCGTCTACCTTCCAGGAATCCCACCCAACCACAGCAGAGGGAGAGGATTCCTGCTCCTCCTGTTCCCTCCCTTAAGCCTCCTCACTAATGCCAAATGTGTCTCTCCACCGTGAGTGAGGCCTGTATCTTCTCTCAGGCATGACCAGGAACTCTGCCTGCTCCCCCTTCTGAACAGCCTGGGAGGTGCCCCTGACCTGTGGCTCAGGCCGCTGTCCGCTTTGCCAAAGGTGCACTTCATGAGTGTGTCCAGAGCCATGTGACCCACATCACTGAAGATGTCAAAGCTCCTATTCTCCTGAGCTTTTTTCTCCCAGTTGTCCTGTAACCCAGAGATAGGAGGCAATGTGAGCACCAACTGGGCTAAGTACTCCACCCTGTGCTCCAGGACTGCTGGAGCTAATCATCCACCACCAAGCCCCACTCCACACAAACACCCTGTCCTTTTCCCGCCCTCCATCCTGCAGGAATGTGTGGTGGACAGCTTCTGGGTATCAGACTCAGAGGGCAGAACCAGCAGACTGATGTAGTCCATCACACACTTTCTCCCAGATAGGGCAGATATAAGAAGCAGGGGACCGAGAGGTGGTGGGCTTCCCAGCACAGTGTGTGTTAAAAATCAGGCCTGTAGTAATGCTGGGGTGAGGTGGTGGGGTCCTACTAACTGAAAGACAAGCCTGGTTATTGTCCAGCCCTGAGACTACAAGTCTGGTTTAACATCCCTCTTAGAGATGAGCCTTAAAGATGAGTTTAGGCAGTTGTGGTAGGCAAACAATAAAAAAGGAGCTGACTCTTAGATGTAAAGGGCATTTCTGACACTCTCAAATATAGGCAGCCCTCAGATCAGCTCCATTAGGGGACTTTCTGCAGCCTCCCAGAGCTCTTTAGCTGGCAAGAAAGAGTGCCTGATGAACTTCAGCACCCAGCCAGCAGTGGCATGCAGCAAGAGACAGCAGAGCAGGGCTTTGGCCACTGTTGCAGGCAAAATGTGGACATGACCTCAGGGTATCCTCCCCCCTGTGGAGCATAACTTGCCCTCGTCCTGGGCAAAAGGAGGGTATAGAGAGCTGGTGCACAACCTTCTGCAGGGAGCTCACCAGCATGGCACGTGCGGAGTCAGCAAACACAGCCACATAGGGCTTCAGCACATCATAATGGAAGCCAGGTGTCAGCAGCCTGCGGTGCTGGAACCACTTGGGCCCATCCAGAACCAGCAGGCCTTTTCCTGGGAAGTGATGGAAGACAGAGAATTAGGAAGTCCAGGCAATCCTGCCCCAACCCTGGCTGTTAAGACAAGGATACCCACCTCCCATCCTCAATATGTGAACCTTGCAGAAGTGAGCCATTGAAAGACCAGGTATTGTCTTCTGGGACCCCACTCCCAAGCTACCAGGACCTCAGGACACAGAGGAGGCAGCAATTCTTGGCTGAGTGTGCTCCTTCCTCAGGGTAGATGACTCATTTTCTACGTCTCAACTGCACCCACAAAGCCTGGGCTCCAAGAACTTGTGTCATATGTCACTGGACTCAGACACAGAAGATGTGCTGCCAGGGACAACAAGGCAGGAGGGAAGCCCGCTAGGTCTTGGCTCTAAGTTGCTGAAATGGTGGCCACAGCTTCAGGACTTGGGAGAAATCTGTCATGTTTCTGCTTTGTGGCCCTATCCTCCTGCCCCTACACACACCCAGCCTTGGAAATGCATTCCTATCTTCAAAACTGCCTCTCATTTTGTCTTTCCTTTTAGCCTCCCTTTCATGGATGAGGAGAGAGTAAGACTCACTGAAGTCCACAAAAGGACTTCCTTGTGTTACTCTCTGAGTAAACAGTCTTGTTACTGTTATCTTCCTCTTGCCCTGCCCTTTCTTAGCTCTCAGGAAGCTGCCGAGACGCCTGGAGATCATGGGTAAAGCAAGGACTTTAAGAAGCATAAGAACATGGCTCAGAAATATCAGTGGCTCCCACCCATCCTCAACATAAACCGACAGTACTAATCCTGACAGCCAAGGATGGCCAGTCCCTCCCTGCCCAGCCTCATCTCCCAATGGAGGTCGGCCTTACAGTCACCCAGACAGTTCTCAGCCTCTGGCGACATCAACCATGGTCCTATGACCACACCTTTCCTCAGGCACTTTCCCTGGACAGCACCACTTACCAAAATTTCCTGTAGGTGCAACTCCAAGAAGCCATTCTTCATACCCAAACATTCCCCAGAGCCCTGCCCCTGCCTAAAATGGGGAGGAGATGAAGACCCAAGTAGAGAAAGTGCCTGGCCCCACTTCCCATGCCAGCTAGAAGCTCCCCTGCTCCTCTTGTCTCGCTACAGAGAACTGAGCTTATGACAGACACATGGGGCCAGGCTGTCCAGCTGATGGGACAACTGACTGTGGAGGGCAGGGCAGGATCCTGGTCACCCAACTCAAAAATGGGAAGGGAGGGGCCAGAAGGCAGGTGCTCCACTCACCAATCCACTGGAGAAAGAAGTCATACACATCCGGGGCCTTAGGGTCTGCAGAAGGAGAGGTGGGTCAGATGGAACAGTGAGTTCTAAAAAGAGGCTTGTTGATAAGCAGGGTGGGGACTTGGCCATCCTTCTCCCAGACTTTGGACACAGATCCTGATCTTTTCCCCACATTGTCTCCTGAACCCTTTGCTCTCAGGAAGCCCCACCCTCTCCCAGGGAAACCTCACCCCCGCGGCTATACACGGCTTTGGCATAGTCAGGCTCATAGATGTTCAGGAAGCCAATGAATTGTCCAAACCAGAGTGGGTGGGCATAGGGGAACTGGTGGGCCCAGGACACCACCTTGTCCAGGCACCCGATCTGCTGGATCTGAAATGGTAATAGAAGGTGAGAACCACTCAGGAACCCAGTGTCACCCAGCCAGGTTCCAGGTCTCTAGGCAGAGAAGGGAGTATACTGCCCAGGCAGGCCCTGGGACCTCCCTCCCTCCTGTTGCATAGTCCCTGTCCTGAATAGTTCTGGTGTAGTACCCATACCAACCCCATAGTCACTGCTTTAAGTCCAGGGATCTTTGTCTAACCCAAGTCACTACCCTCAAGGGCTCTAGAAATTGGCCTCTTTGGGGCTCCAACTACCAGTTATGTCTTCTCTGGGTTCCAATTCTCCCAGGCCATCCATACAGTTTGATGTAAACAACCACAGATTCATCCCTCAGATTCCCGAGTTCAACTCCAGGTGGTTACAAGAGTTTTAATCACCTTTGAGCAGATAATAACAAAAAGAAGATAAAGGGATAAAAATCATCTCTCCCCACAGGTAAGAGGGAAATCTGGTGACCTTGCCTCTTTTCTAGCTGGTATCCCTGGCAATACTCCCTTCCCTATGTCTCTCTTATTTTTCTATCTGCCCTCCTGGATTTTCCTTAACAACTTTCTGATTACCTGGTCACTCCTTTTCTCCTTACCCCTACAAGGTCCAGGGAATCCAACTGGACATGACAGGGAAAGGCTGAAGTCACAGAAAATCCAGACTTATAGGATCTCAGAGTTGGAAGGAGCCTTTGACTGGTCTGATTCATCTGAGCACTACTCCCCTCCTTATCACCCATGCTTGTGCCCTTCTATAGCATCCACCGATTGACAAGAGACCCTAAGCTCACACTGACTCTGATCTTGATCACAGATAGCTTGTCACAGCCTCCCAGTGCCCAGTGCCTTTCTCCTAGTTGTCCTAATTGTCCCAGGAACCCGGGGAGAGGAAGGACAGCTTCTAGCACTTGACCTCACAGCTATGGCTAAAACCCCTTCAAGAGGACTGGGACATCATCCTTCTGGAGGACATGTGGCTGCTCGCCAGATCCTCTGGGTTACACAACAGGATGCCTCAGACTTGTCCTCAGATCCACTGAATTGGGACACTTACTAGGATGTCTGGGCCAGCTTGTTTTTGTCCTGAGGAAGGAAGCAGGGGAAAAGCAGAGTGTAGAGATAATTCACTGCACTCAAATCTCCAGCCCCATCCCCCTCATCCTCTCATTTGCACTCCTTGTTGACCCTTCCAGGAATAAACAATAGGATATTGTTTATTCCAAGAACCTGAGTAAATTTTTCTCCAAGAATCAGATCAGAAAGGCATGTTATGTTGTCTACTCAAACTACTACCTCTCTTTATAGGTGGGAAGAGTGCAATCCTATGACCAAAGGGTTAGAGCAGACCCATGAGTTAGGGAAGATCAGGGATCTTGACTGAGGCTCTTCCTGCTATCTTTCCTGTCAACAAAGCTGCTCAGGCTTTTGGCCAGTTGATCTGAAGTTACCTGTTTTGTCTATCTTTGGGTGACATCAACATGGGTTACTATGACTCTCCTAGCCAACTATGTTTTGCATAGGAAATGATGATGGGCCTTGTCCAAATTCAAAAAACTAGCATCATCCCCAGGGCATTAGGTTCCAAAACTTAGGCATGATGCTAGTTTTTCCCTAGCCCCAACACCTCTTCTGTCTTCAGCATCCAAAGATGAACTCCAGCCCCAAGAATGACCAGTTGGAGGGGGAGTACAGGAGAGCATTCAGACACCTAAGAGGATAGAAGGACAGGGGGCCCAAAAAATGCCTAAGGGTCCAGGAAGATGCAGTCATTAGTCCTCAGCCTGTGTGAGTGGTTTTGCTGCCTCAAATTTGGTTCCCAAAGAATTCATTCACTCTTCCAGTACATAGACATTGAGCATTCTATGTACCAGGTGTTACAAGTCCCTGGGGATGTAATAGTGAGCAAGACAAAGCCCTGCCCCTCCTGCAAGCCTACATTTCAAGTGGGGAGAAAACAAATAAAAAAGAACAAAATACATCAATAGTAGGATTTCAGGTAGTGATAACTCTTGCAAGAAAAATGAAGTAAGGTGTGGATCTGCTACAGTAGACAGGGGTCAGGTGGGTCAGGGAAGGCCTCCCTGAGGTGCTATTTAAACAGAGATCAGCAGAAACACCTTTTAGAAAGTTCCGTAGCATTATCCATAATCTGCCTCTCAAAAATTTCTCTTTTCCCAACTGCCCCCCTACTCCTCTGAGTCCCACTCTCAGCTGATGACTCTTGCTCCACCTTGCAGAGAAGGTAGACACCATCAGATAAGAAAGCCCAAAAGTCAGCCACAAGACTTGCACAACCACCTGGCCTGCACTCAGCCTCTCCACCAGTCTAGTAAAGTCCTCCAGGCCTATCCAACCCCCTTGGAGTACTTCCTCTCCTACCAACATTTAAAATGTGATCCAGTCTCTCCCAATTGCAGAGAGAAAAAGAGAGAGAGAGAGAGAGAGAGAATGAGAAATTTAAAAAGGAAACAAAACTTCATTAGTTCCACCCCCAACCCCTCCTTGTCAACTGAGACCGGCCTTCTTCCTTCCTTCAGAAACATCTTCTTTTGTTGTTACTTTTTCTGGGGGGTTCAGTGTTGTTTTTTGTTGTTTGTTTCTTTGAGACAGGGTCTTGCTATGTAACCCAGGCTATCCTACAACTATTCATCCACCTGCCTCTGCCTCCCAAGTGCTGAGATTATAGGTATGCACTATCACTGGCTCATAACCTAACTTCTCAAAGGAGTTCTTCCCACTTCAGTTCCCATCATACCACTTGCTCCTGCTGATGTATCCAGTATCCTCCCCGGTGTTAAACGCTGACAACTACTAGCTGCCGTGACACAGTTGACTCCTTCTTACTCTTTTCTGGATGTCCTCCTTGTCTCCTGATGCCCCTCTCAGTGTCTACTCCCTCATTGTGCGTCCTCAAGGATGATGCTCCTCCAAGTCTTACCTTGGGCCTCTTTCTGTCCTGCACCTTCTCTCTGGAGGCTCTCACCTTCTCCCATGCCCACGTTTGCTACCTTTCTTCCTCACTCAACATCTCATCTCAGCTGATCATTATCCTGAGACTCCCAAACATCAACACCCACAGACATCTCTACATGACATCCTCAGACCCAGGATACTGAGACTCAAGTTCATACACATGTGTTTATATATATCATGTTTGCCCCCTAAATCTGCCCCTCATTCTGTCCCAAGGAATGAAATTGCTACCCATCTCAATACTAACTGGAAATACAGAATATGGTTTTCTCCATGGTTTACAGTGATATCAAAAAGGTGCCTTGTGAAGGCTGGCCTTTACTGCTGCAGGCCCACCAGAGCTAAGAGAACCAGATACAGCAGCAACCAGGAGGAGGCTTCAGCATCAAATTTTCTAAATCTAGTATTAGAAACTCCCATTCCTGGATACTGATAGGTGTCCCAACCTCTGAACCTCCCTTCCAATGCCTCAGATCCCCACATGTTTCAATGCAGATATAGAAATTCATTTCTTTTGATTAAATTCCCCAAATCTCATCCTTGTGGCTCAAAGTTCTTTTCTGCTTCAGGTGGCATTGCCAAATTCTGCTCTGATGTCTCAATTTAACAAAGCCAAGGGCAACCTTTGACTCTTTTTTCCTAGTAGATAAAAAGGACCTCACTGACGCTCTCACATCTATGGCAGAGGCCTTGATGCCTTTTCCCTCTCCTCTGCTTCCACACCAAGACCTGGCCTACTTTACTGCTCACTCCTCCCTATTCCACTAGCTTACTCCTCAACATCTCCCTGTATCACCTCCACCTTGGCCCCCTGCCTTCTTTTTGTCCGCCACCCTGACTTTCTTCTCCCCTATTTGCCCCCTTCCCTGGCCCTCTACTGATAATTTACCCTCTACCCTAGCCCTTCTCCTGTTTGTCCTCTACTTTGGCACCCTGTCTCCTATTTGCACTCCATCCTGGCCACCCTGCCTCCTTATGGAGCTATTTATCAGCTAGTTGCTTGAGAAAAAAGGAATAAAGACCAGCTTGATATGAAAGCAAGAGAGAACAAAAGAAACCAAGGTATCAGGATGTTTGGCATCAAGAATTCCCCTACAATGATTTAACAGTTGACATCTGTCTGCTGAGCAGTTTGCTAAGTCTCTGTATTTTATCCCTTTTGATTCTCTTATAACCTAGAAAAGTAAAGATGATTTCTCCATTTTATCAAGAAGAAAATGGAAGTACAAATGACTTACCCAGCAAAAGCCCATGATCAATGTGTACTAAATATAGTGACCAAGAGTCCTCATTATCCAACACAAAGTCAAGGGGACTTCTAGCAATGGGTAGGGCCAGTGAGGAGGCCTCAGAAATCTCAAGGGATCACCTTTCCTTGGGCTGGGAAATAGTATTCCTTGCTACACACACACACACACACACACACACACACACACAGAGGTCAGATTTGTCAGCCCTCCCAGAGGCTGTAAACTTAGACCTACAATGAGTTCTTGCTATGTGCAAAGTCTTCCTCAAGCCCCAGAGTGGAGAGAGAAAGATCCCAGAAGAATAGGATCTGCCCTGCCTCAAGGGGACACATTCTTAAAATTGAGTAAGATGACAGGTAGATGCTACCAGGGCTTCCACACTGTAACTGGAGGCCAAGAAAGAAGAAATTAATATTGATGGATAGCTCTTTCATACCCCCAAAATCATTGCCCACCAATATTCTTCCTTCTCTTCCAATGCTCATTCTAAATGGGTGTAGGGATCAACTTTCAGTTACTTTTTATGGACTTATCATATTCTGAATTAAAATGTAGGATTCCTGGGCCCAGCTTTGACTTGACTCCTAAGCTACTTGTTATATGGATTTAAGTAAACACCTCACCCCTTTGAATTTCAACTTCGTCATTGTTACATTAGGGAAACTAATCCCTACCCTGCCCTTCTCCTGGCTCAGGTTCAGGTGTGGATTCAACCAACAGCAGAGGTGCCAAGCTCTGGAGGAATGCAGGGTGGTGTTGTCCCACTGGTGTCAAATGGTTCCCCAGGAAACCTTTGTAGTACTCAAGAGCACCCGTCTAATCCTTGCACTCCCTTCCTGGTGTCAGGCAAAAGCCCTCCAGATAGTTGTGCTGGTGCCAAAAAGCCAGAGGTAGGCTGCATTCCAGGCTCTTAGTACACTCCCAAGATGAGGGCAAGAACAACTGAGGTGAAGAGCTCAGCCAGTTCCTGCATGAAGTTATGGGGGAACAACATCCCTGTCCTAGGAAAATCTTGGCTGAGGGCAAACCCAACTCTGATGGAGGCAGGCAGAAGTAGAGGGGCACAGCAGAAAAGGATGGGTGATGGAAGAGGGAGAATAACAGAGACGATAAACAAAACCAGGGTATAATACCTGTATATGTGGAAACATCACAACAAATTCCCCTGTATAAATATCATACTAATGAAAACATTACTAAAGAAAGAAACAATCAAACAGATTAATTATTCAAGTAAAAAATAAGATGAATAAATAGTTTAAGTAATGGCCTAAAAAAAAAAAAAAGAGGAAAAGATTGAAAGTTTCCTTAAATACCACACATACTCTGTTAGGGTCAGATTTCAATCTTCCCTTGACTCTGCTTCCATACTTGGCAAAGACCCTCCCAAACCCCACCTTGATACCTCCACTTATCTTCTCCATCACTCTGTCCTCTGTGGATGTCCCTCCATACTCAGACATTCTCTGTTCATTCATTCAGCAATGCCTGGTCTGTAACAGGCTGCCACCTGTACCTCAAGGGCACAAGGATGAATCAGACCAGATCTCCATTCTCCAGAGTCTACAGACTAGTAGGGAAGATGAACAAGGGCTGAGATGAAAAGAATAGAGCAGATGTGAAATCCTGGGAAGGCATGTTCCCTTCTGGACAGTAACTTCCTTGAAAGCCTAGGCAGGGTCCAGTTCTCTCTTCAACCCACCTTTTCTTATCTTAGATGTTCCCAGGATATAGATAGCTTACTAGGCTATCCCTGGAGGGTTATCTGTAAGGGGCAAGGATAGGCCTAAAGGTTAAGTTCTTATCCAGTATCAATCACAGAGGAGAGGCAATTCCCTAGATAGAGGATGAAGAAAGTGGATTCAAGAAGTAGGAAAAGAAATTATCCCTTCTCTGAGCCTTCATCTCTAGCATCTGTACTGGGGTTCCCAAACCTGGCTTCAGGTCAAAACACTTGTGGTTGGGAGGGGGGTGTTAGATTCCTAGTTTGTCTGACAAATTAGAATTTCTCTGCACTGTGGGCCCCGAAATCTGCCTCTCAAAGTTGACTCCACGCCACTGCCTTGTACTCAGAAATGGCTATTTGGATGTCCATGATAGGAGGAATTCCTGAGAGTAGATGCTAAGATGGTCCCACTATGCTTCTGAAACAGCAGGATGAGCCAGGATCTGAACCCAGGAAGATGCCATGGTTCCTGAACCACCCATAAGCCTGGGAGGGAGGGAGGCCTGTTGGACACTCTGGAAGCGAATACCCTTACTCTCATAAGACAGCTCTTATCTCTACCTTCACCTTTGTTTTATTCCTTAGTAACAGAATCTTTACTCCACAGATCAAAAGGACATTGGTGAAGCTCTAAACATGCTTGCCTAGTACTGTCAGACTATGGGAATTTGGTTTCTCCTCTATGCCATAACCAAGCCTCTGGCACACCCTAGTCTCAACCTTGGCCCTCCAAATGTTAGGAAGGCATTTGTGGTCTTCTTGGGCTCCAACTTTGAAGTGCTGTCTGCTTCTGAAACCAGTTTGAATGGTAGGAGTTAGGGAGCAATACAGTGGGAAAGCAGATTGCCTCTGCCTAAGTGGATCACCTCCCTCCCCAGCCTTCAGGGAATTCAGCCTAATTCTCTAAAGGAAGGGAAGTTGGCTCCTTTCTCCAATCTTCTCCACATACCTCATAGGCATGCCCAAAGAGCCAGTGGGTGGGGGGTCCTGGGAAGCTGTCCATGGCCCTGGCCAACTTCTGCCTCCTCAGAAGCAAGCGGAGGAGCTTGAGAAAGCCTATGAGCAAGATCACTGCAGAAGCCCACAGGCCCAGGTGGGAGAGCCTCAGAGAGAAGAAGCTCAGCGCCATGGCTGCAAGCTACAGTGCCCAGGCTCCAGGCTGCCTCCAGAAGCCCCTGGGTTTTCTTATACTCCTAACCTGGGCATCCTGCCAGTTCCCACCCCCAGCCACGCCCTGCAGACAGCAGCAGCCTAGGCTGGGCCAAGTGCCATAGGGTGGAAACAGCAATCTCAAAATTCACAGACAACAGAGGAGGGCCTGGCTGGCTTCTCTCAACTTGTCTGAAGAGAAGTAAGGTAGTGGGCTTCAAAGAAGCCCACCAAGGTTTCTTGGAGGAGAAAATAGAGGGCAATTCTAGGTGTAGTCATTGCCATAATAAGAACTTTTTCCTACAAGCACCTTGTATGTTTAAGGGAATTTTTACACACTATCTCTTTTAATCCAAACTACAAGGAAATCATAGGTGCTCACTTTTTATACCTATTTCCCAGATAATGAAACTAAGGCTTGGCTTGCCTGTGCTTTCTTATAAGAAAACTTCCACTGACCCCTTCATTTTTGCCAGGTTCATGATGCTTTAACTCCTGTTTTGTGAGGCACCTTCAGGGATGAAATTACAGCCCCAGAATGGAGCTCTTGGGTCAGAAAAGGGCTAACTGTACCCCCAAAACTATAGTACACATTCAACACTTAGAACATAGAATATTGTCTTCAGAGTGATTAGAAAAGATCATCAAATTCAATCCTTCTTGGATGGAGCTATTTAGGCCCAGAGAAGGGTAGAGAAATGTCCAGAGTTGCACAGCAAGGCAGTAGCTGTCCTCAATGCCACAGGACAGGGTTCTTGAAGAACAAACTTGGCCAAGGCACCTGCCTTTGCAGAGACTGTCTTCTGTTCCTCTCTTTGTTGGGTTGTATCAGTCAGAGCCCCAGCAGAACACAGAATTCACTTCTGGTGTTTCAGATGATTCTTGGATGCATGTTTCCTTTCAGAAGGATAGTCAGAATTATGAGGTATCAAACAAAATGGGATCCAGAGACCAGCAAGAGCAGGAAACCCATCAACACTTGTAAGCTTAAGGAACTAAGAGAAGAACAGTCTTCCAAGAACCTGGTAGAAGCTGCATTTATGGGGAACAGGATAAGTGATGCTGGCACAGGAAAGGAACCAAGAAGTAATGTCCCAAACCCTTTTCTCTCCTATCTTCTGTCTCTTACTGGTGTCTCCTATCAGTCAACTCCAACCAGAAATGAGAATGCAAGGCATCCTATGGGAGTCAGTCTGTGGGAGCCAGCTTCCCAGCAGGGAGAGGAGAGCAAAGACCAAGTGTGGTAGGGAGGTGGGAAGAGTAAACCAGGACACATGTGGACTTGGAACTCAGATCTCAGAACTCAGATGGCAAGTAATGACTCAGAGAATGGTGAAATGTCATCATGACCTCTTCACCCCTTCTGGCAGAGGAGACTAAGCCTCCTCCCTGTTAAGGAGGTAGCATATCTAGTTCTACCCATAGGCAGAGAAAGCAAGAACAGAATATGATGAGTGGAACTTCTCCATTGATCTGTCACACTTCCTGAAATCCTACATCTGTGCTTCATTGTATTGGATCAACACACTGATGCTCCATTTAAAATGCAATTCACCCAGGTCAGAAAATAAGGGAACATGATGAGCTATCTGCAGACTTCCATACTTTATAGTGAATTTGTGCATCAGCACGGTCCCAGCTTGGCAGTGTGGTGAAGGGAGTGTTTGGGAAAGAGCCTGAGGGGGTACCATTGGATGAAACAGCCATGATCCCTGGTAAGACTATATGGGATTCACCTGGAAGCAAGTAGGGCTAGCCTAGACAGCGTTAAGTGAATAGAGTAGACATTGATTGAGTGAGTTCACAGCATCCATTTCTTTTATTCTCCCTTCTACAGCATAAGATGAATTTATTGCCTTGAGGGTAAAATATGATTGGCCTTACCCTCAGTTCCAGTATGGGCCTATATTTGTGCAGAACGATACCCAGTGTTTATAGTCTATTTGTCAGACCCTGATTTGCACTCCTTGGCTCTAATCCGGAAGCCATTCAACTTCAGAAGACAGGTAACCACAAGGCCAGAATCAGAGGCCAAGTAGCAGCCAACTTCCAGGTCCTAGCCCACTAGCTACCCACACCCATCCAGCTTTGCAGAGTGATTTTTGGAAGCCAAAATGTACTCTCCAATTCAGTAATGTGCAGGAACAGCATGGAACTGGCTTGCAAGAGCAGATTATAATCACTTCCTAGCTTTAGGTGCAGTAACATCACACCAGTTGCTTAGACTTGGCTGTCATGGGAGTATTTACACCACAGGAATTGACAAGTGCTACAAATTAAGGCTATCTCCCCAGGGGAGCCAGCTGCTAAACATTTTCCAACATACCATTGTCCCAAATCCCTAACTGCTAAGTAACTGTCTGTCCTTTCCAGTGGCACTTGTCTAGTTCATCACTATTATGCAGGTCTGTTGGCCAAGACTTGCATGGAAACAATATATGGTAATTTCAGGCTAGACTTTTGTAGCAGGAAGAAGGACAGAGGGATGGATAATCAGGGTAGGAACTCAGCTGTATCTAGCTTTTAATTGCTTTTGAAAGAGAGGTGACTGAGGGTATAGCTCAGTGGTAGAACATATTCCAGCATGCATAAGGCCCTGGGTTTGGTCTCCAGCAGAGACAGAGAGAAAGAGAGAGAGAGAGAGAGAGATCAGAAGCAAATATGGCAAAATATTCACATAGGTTTCTGTTCTTTTCTATATTTTCAGTTTTATGGCATCTTGTCTTTTAATTTAAAGTCAAAGTTAAGGGCTATAAATGTGGTTCAGTGGTAGAGCACGTGCCTAGCATGCATGAGGTTCAATCTCCAACTCAGGGAAAAAAAGGTCAAACTTAAAACTCCACCTTGTTGTTCAGTGCCTCCACACAGTGGCAGGGGCAGACTCACATGGGACATGATTTGAGGAGAGGTGGCAGCAACAGTGGCAGTGGCAGTGAGAAGGTGGCCTGTTGAACTTCTAGTAACAGTTATGGTGTCTTTCTGACTCCAGACAATCCAGTTGATCTAAATACAACCAGAAGTGATCTTTTGACCCCAGCAAGATCCTGGGGATTTCCTAAGGTGTGATCGTAGTAGCAGGAATACCAGAAGAGGAAGAAAGGACACTTTCAGAGACTGGGGAGGCAGGAGATCCAGCTATCTCATTGGAATATTAGAAAGATGTAAAGTAAGTAGTGCTATTTCCCTTTTGCTTTTTAAATGGAAATTATTAAAAGAGCTCATATTCTCATCTTTGGGGCCCCAGTCTGAGGACCACTTTATCTAGCTAAAATGTTGCAGAAGGTACTGAGCAGAGCTGGGAGTAGAGTTCGGATTCCTCACTCCCATCAGATTCACATCTGCAATCTCAGAAAACTCCCAGCATCTCCCAGTCCCCAGCATCAGAGAAGGTTTCAGTTTGGCAGTGCTGTGGAATTGTTGCCTAGAGTTGCCGGGCACCACACGTGGAATAAAGAGAGCTCTCTCTGCCCGAAGCCCCTAAAGCCTCCTTCACAATCTAAGATCCTTCCTTCAAATTTCCTCTGTCTCCAGGTGCACACAAGAAAACATTTCTGTCCTCACTCCCAGTTCTATGGGCAGTTTACAAGTTACTTACCACCAGAATTACAGAGCACAAAGTTAAGATTAGCAATAAGACTTTTGGTCAATTGGCAAGCCCTAGAGAGGAGAAGAATTTGGCCAACAAGTCACTGAAAGAGCTAGGAAATTTAGAACTTCAGTCTCTAGGTTTACACAATCACCGAGGTTGGAAGTTCCCTGGCAGAACTTGGAAACTACAAGGAAATAAACAGGAAAGAGAGAAGAGAGGTCTGAGAAAATCTAGTGATGGAGTCCAAAGTGGAAAACAGAACTCACAGATGGGGTCCCTGGCAACTGGGACCTGAGCTCCCAGAGCTCAGAGGGTCCTGAGCTCTTTGGCCCAGAAGGTGGAGTCACAGAAACAAATTTCGGGGCCTTCACTAATTCTGAAGATCAACCCAGAGGATACATCTTGGAGCCAAAGGGGAAAGCAAGCCCCTACCTCCAACACAGCCATGTGGAGGTGAGGACAGTGGGAGGTGATAATAGTGCCTGAGCTGGGAGGAATTCACTCAGCCAGATTCACAAAGCTGACAGTTGGCAGTCACAGCAGAGCCTGGCAGGGATGATCACAGTGTGTGGCCACCCCTCCGCCTTAGTTTTATCTTTTTTCCCTAGCTCTATTGATGACACCCTGATGTAATGGAGGAGATGCAGCACTAATATAGGATGAATATATAGAAGGACAAAGAGATTTCTTATAAGGAATTGACTGGTGATTATGGAGACTGGCAAGTCCCAAGAACTCTGCTTAGCAAGCTGGAGACCCAGGATAGCCAATGGCACAGTTTGTCAACCTGAATAATAAAACAGTAAGAAAGAAGTTCTCCAAAGAATAACAACATTTAAAGCCAGGTGTAGTGCTACTGTTAGGAATGGGAATCCTATTCCCCCGAGAGACAGAGAGCCAGGCGTGAATGCAATCAACAAAGCAGAGTTTATTGGGCTGGCTAGCCAGGGTCGAGCTCCCACACGGACACGCAGGACCGGTTAGGAAAACACGACCCTGAGCCTCTTTAGGGGAAATCTTATATACACCACGACCTGCCGTTACAGCAAAAGCCCGCGCAGCACTTAACCAATGATTTTGTAACACAGAGTAAAAGGTCAGCAGTTGCGCGCGTATTTTCGTTATCAACATTGAGCAAGCAGACAGAGCACATCTTGTACGTACATCCCGTCATCTTTCGCAACCTTCTCACATTCCTCACATTCTATATCCCCGAGCCGAGCCCTGCTGCCCTGCTTATCTTATCTACACGGGGCATCTGGTACCGGTTTCTCCAACAGGGGGGTGG